CGAGATTGGAGAACAGTTGCAGCGGGCCACGCCGTTGCTCAGCGGGTTGCTGTCTGGACCCGAGCCCAACGCGATCAGCCACAGTGCCGAGATCAGCGAGGGCGAAGTGGGTGAGTAGTGGCACTGGGCCGTGCCGCTGCTCAGCGAGAAGCCGGCTGTGGAGGTGAAGGCCAACGCGATCAGCGACAGCGTTGGGGTCATTGAGCCGACTGGAGAGTCGGTGCCCGTTGCGATCAGCTACAGTTTTGGGATCAGCGGGCGTGGGGCCAGAGGGCAGTGGCAGCGGGCCCTGCCGCTGATACCCGACGCCCAGCCCTACCCCCAACCCTCCGCCCTCTCACCTCCGCCGAATCCAACGCTCAGCTGTGCGCCCAATCCCGCGCGAGCCCTGCCGCCCAACACAAGTCTCGACCCGACGCCCCGCCTTTTGCTCTACCCGACGCTCCGCCCTGCAGTTCATCCCCCAACGCCTTACTCGACGCCTCGTCCGACCCCCCACCTGATTTCTTTCCCAACGGCGGTGCTCAGCCCGACCAGTCCGACGCCCAGCCCGACCGGGTCGGGCTGGGCGTCGGACCCCTCGTGCAGCGCCAGGCCTCACACTGAGCTGACGCCAAACGTTACCAGCTCCTGTGCTGGAGTCAACGAGCGTGCGGGCGGTAGGGGGGGTGTCCAACGCGATCAGCTACAACGCTGGTGTCAGCGAACACGAGAGGGCGCTGCTTGCCGAATCAGAGTCCCTCGCGATCAGCTGCAGTGCTGGGATCATCGAGGGTGCCAGGTTGAGGCCAACGCGATCAGCCACAGTGCGGGGCTCTGCGAGTATCAGAAAAGGGAGCCTCGAGGACGGGATCCTGGTGGAGGAGGGCGCTTCGCCTCAAAATCCTGGTCCTGGCATGCCCTCGGAAAGGCTGATTTGGCGGTGTGCCTCCGTGGCTCTGTTGGCGTGCACATGATTCGTCCAACCGAGGCTGACCTGCAAATGCCTAATTTCTCACCCGTCGGTTTCGGACTCGGCTTCTGCGCGGTTGTCCTCGCGTCCTGGAGGTGCTAGCAGCGCCCCGACTAGCCGCGCCATGGCTGTTGCTCATGATGTTCACCCGCCCGGTGCTTTTCTTCGCGACGAGGATACAGTCGGGGCGCTGAAGAAGGAACCCTTTCCGGTGGGGAGGGGCTCGGTGTGTCCTGATTGTTTCACAGCTTGCCTCAGGTTTTCCCTATGGTTTCGATGGGAAATCGAAGGTTCACTTACTCCAGATTTCGTAATAAAAGGGAGGGGGTCTGGACCCTCCAAGACAAGCCATTTCAGACCTCCCCCGTGGGAGAACCCTCCAAAACATCGTCCCCAGACCCCCCAGGCCCTCCAATATAGCCTGGAAGAGACCCCCCCCGAAATGAGACTCCCCTCCCTTTATAACGAAATCTGGAGTATGGAAAAAAGGGGCCTCGTTCCTTATTTAGGGTTCCTTAGGTCAACGCCCCCACTGTGACGGCGCCAATATAACCGCGGGGTGATTCAACGCTCGCGTCCCCGGGCGGCTGCGCCGCGTCTCCCGGTGCACCGTGGTCTTCGTGCTTCGGAAGGGGCCCTTCCAGGGTTAGGGCGGAACCAAGCAAAAATACTCCAGATTTCGTAATAAAGGGAGGGGGGTCTCATTTCGGGGGGGGGGTCTCTTCCAGGCTATCTTGGAGGGCCTGGGGGGTCTGGGGACGACGTTTTGGAGGGTTCTCCCACGGGGGAGGTCTGAAATGGCTTGTCTTGGAGGGTCCAGACCCCCTCCCTCCCTTTTATTACGACATCTGGAGTAAGGAGTCCGAGGTGGATAAAAGGCGCCGTAGGAATTTCAAAAGCCAGAGGATTTCCTGAGTTATGCCATGATCATGGAAGGGCTAGTGACGCCCCGACTGGACGCACCACGGTTGTTGCTCATGCTTGCCGCCCGCCTGTTCACGTTGCTTCCCGCGAAGATAACGGTGCATATAGCCATGGTGTTCTTCGCTTGCCGGGCGCGCGTGGTGACGCCTGCGTCGGGAGCCTTGAGAAGGGGGTCAATGCAAACGGGGGTCAGCCACGGCACCGGATCCTGCAGGATCCTGCGAAGACCCCCTCTGGCTGACCCGGGTTAGCGAGCCGCTCGTGGCCGCGAGGCGGCCGCATATATTGGCTGACCCAGGTTTGCGAAGACCTGCGTTGCAGTTTTTTTTCCTGCATTGCAGTTTTTGGTTTCCTGCTGACCCGGGTCTGGACTGACCCGGGTCAGAAGATCCCCGACTGCGGCACGGAAAGTGCGTGCGCAGTCGTGGCGGCAACGCTGACAGGGCAGGCTGTTGAGGCCGCCGCCCTCAAGCGTTTGTTGTCTCAGGGGCTCTGCGCGCCCCCTCTCGGGACGTTTGCGGCACCCTTGTGGCAGAAGCCCTGGCGTGGGAGACCGAAAGAGGGCGCTCACGGCGACCTGGGCCTCGACCCCGCCCCCGGTGCCCCTCCCGCTTCCCAGTTGGTACCCCTCCCATCAACGGCCACAAGAGCCCTGGGCCCCACCGTTGCCAGCCAGCGCTCCGCCGAAGCCTGGCTTCGACGTCGGCAAGCGACCCGATTCGCGCCCGCGCTTGCCCTGCTCAGCGCGCTCGCCAGGAGGGCGAGGACGACGACGTCGCGGACGAGCCGGGCGCGAGCGCCCTGCCTGGCGACCCCCCCCCCGGCGCCCGCGCCGACGCCTTGCCCGACGTCCTGCCCGACGCCTCGTGCCGGGGTCGCGGCCGACGGCGCCCCCGACAGGCCTGGGGACCGCAATCGGCAGCCGATTCTCGCGAAAGCCCGGCCCTTGGACGTCGGCCAGCGACCCCGTGTCGGCCCTGGAGCTGATTGCCCCGGCTGCGCGGGCGGGCGGGGCGGTCCGCGGCCGCCAGAACCCTGGCGCGCCCAGGGGAGGACCGGGGCGTCGCGAGAGAGCTCTGGCAGGGGATCTTGACGCGCTGTGCAAGCTGTCTCGTGGGGTGATCCAGTGGGAACCCTTCGACGGCGAGACGCCTGGCGAGTGCGTCAAGCAGCTCCAGCGCGAGGCTGGGTCCACGTTCGTCAGTGAGTGGCACGCTTTCTGCGCGGCGTAAGACGATGGCAGGCGGCGCGTCACTTTCGCCCTTGGGATGCGGTCCGCTGTCCAATGCTTGGTCTTCCTCCGCGGGCTCGCGGCCGCAGGACACGACGTGGCGGAGAGGGCTGGGCCCTCCTGCCCCCCGCCCCGCGTCCCTCTCGAGCCTCCCATTGCCTCTCGTGCCTCGATTCGCCTCGGTGCATCCTGCCGTCGCTCGTGCGGTCCTTGGTCCTTCGCGGCCGCCGACTAAACAATCCACCCTCGCCGCCTGAGAGAGGACCCTGGCATTTCTGAGGCACGGAAAGCCATCGTCACCATTGTGATGATTTTCTGGCCCGCTAGGCCATCTTATGGGGGATAGGGAGGATGGTGGGTCGGGGAATACGAGATCGATTTCTTGGATGGGAGGCGAAGCCTGCTCACGCCCTGCCTTTGAATATGAAGTATCACCATGGTAGTAAGGAACAGTGTGCTGTCCTTCTCCTGGCTCCTCGGCTTTTCCCGTCTCCTTCTTCCATCTGTCTGCCTGCCTGCATCTTGCGGTTTGGCTCTCTCTCTCTCTCTCGCTCTCACGGAGTCGGTGGTTGCGTGTCCACCACCTCCCGGATTTATTGGGCTGCTCGGGTTGTCTAGATCGCCCGAACAGTGACCGGGGATTGCCTGCATGTGAAAATAATATTACACAGAAGTATCTAGCTACCTACGTCAAGTTCCGCCACCGTGCCTGGTTGTGGGTTATAAGCCTGGTGGATGTTCGTTGGAATCTCGTGGGGGGCCTCTCAGGAGCCTCCTGGAGGCAGTATTAAAACCTCTTGGGGGCCTTTTGGGGACCTCTTGGGGACCTCTTGGGGTCTTTTGGGCCTCTTGGGGGCCTCTCGGGGGCCTCTTGGATGCCTCCTGAGGCCTCCTGGGGTTGGGGCGGAAGGCTCGGATTTTCGGTTCGTGTTCACTCTCTGGGCCCCATTTTTGGGCTGTCTTGGAGCCCTCTTGGGCCGTCTTGGGCGCCTTTTGGGCGCCCTTTGGGCTGTCTTGGGGCGCTCTCGGGCAGTCTTGGGGTCCTCTTGGAGGCCTCTTGGGCCGTCTTGGGGGCCTCTTGGGCCGTCTTGGAGCGTCGGAAAGTCGAAAAGGCAAGGCAACACAATCTTACAAGAGGCAAATCCGTGATTTTTGCCGTTGGGGGCCCTCCTGGGAGACCTTGGAGGCCTCCTGGGGCGTCTTGGGATCTTGGGCGTCTTCGAGCGATTGTTCGGCGGCTCCGGGCCCTGATGGGCCGTCTTGGGGGCCTCCTGGGCCATCATGGAAGCCTTGGAGAGCCCCGGGGAGGCGCCATGGCCGCCGAGGGACCCCCCAGAGGTATGGCCAGTGCGCGCGGCGAGGTGCGGCGGGGAGGGGGGGGGAGGGCCCCTCGAGAAGGTTTCGCAGAGCCCTGCCGGAGAGCCCTTGGCATTCTGGCACGCCGCAGCGTGCCAGGGGAAACACGGTGGCGGACACCTACCAACGCGGGGGTCGGAGGCCCGCGCGGCCTTCTTCCTGGATCGGCGGGGAAGCCCCGCGCCTCCGTGGCGCCGCCCGTGGCGCCGGGGAAAGGGTTCCAGCTTGTGCTGAGTTGTCTTCTAGCTTCGGGGGCCCCCAAACGGGGTGGTGACCACACCGTGCGGTGAGTGGGGATTCGGGGTCACCGCACGGTTTTGGGACTCGGGTCGTTCTCCGATGACGTCTCGGGCGACTGGGGCCTCCAGGGTCCCAAGACCGTGCGGTGACGGACCGTGCGGTGAGGTCTCGAGGGGGTTCGAGGTCACCGCACGGTCTGTCACCGCACCGTTTCGGGACTCCAAATAGCTGCACCTCGCCGTCGTCGTGAAGAAGAGGAGGACGACGAGGGGGACTCCCTGAGACGGCCGCCGGCAAGGAGATCCGCAAGTGCAGGGCTCTGACCGACCAGCCGTTCGGGGTGAATCTGACGCTCCTGCCGGTCGGCGTGAAGCCGGACTACGAGGGGATTGCTCTCCTGGGGCTGCCAAGCGGGGTCTTTTCTGAGGATGCGCATGGGGGAGCGGGCATCGAAGAACACCAAATCTGCAAAAACAAACAATTCGGAGGACCGCGCGGATTTCTTGGATCGGCGCTGGACCCCTCTGGCGGCTGGCGCGCTTAGCACGGCAGGGATGGGGGGTCCAGCGTGGATCTCCGAAAGTTTACGCACGTGCTGTTTTTCTTCTTCTGGAGTTGCATCTTGAGGAGGTCGGTGGGGTGGGGAGTCCTAGCGGCTCTGTTCGCTCAGCACTGCTGGGGTTTGAAGACGTCAGAGTTTGCCAGCAGCCTGAAGAAATGCGTCTCGAGTGCCTCAACTCGGGAATCAACTCGCACACCAAGCCAAATCAGGAGAGCCTGCACCCATGCCACCAGGAGGAGGAATATATGTTGGTTTAGCCACGGAGGGTGAAAGCTGGGAAAGAGAGAGGGAGAATGGAGGATAATCAGAAGTGGGGGGGCGGATGATGCATGGTGGAGACAGGAGGAGCGATGGATGGAGAAGGAGGATGACGATGATGAGGAGGAGGAGGACGAGGAGGAGGAAGAGGAGGAGGAGGAGGAGGAGGAGGAGGAGGAGGAGGCAGGGAGTCGACTGGCACTGGCTCGCTGTGCATCAGCAATTTGGGTCCACGGGCGGATGCGAAGACAGGGTAAAGCAGGCGTGGCCACGCAGGCTGCCCCGCCTCAAGCGAGCCTGAGATTCCTCGTTGTCGGCAGCCATCCCGTGTGCGCACACGCAGGCCCATCCTGCAGCCGTTTCGGCTCGATCCTGCAGCCGGCCCGATCCCGCTAACACTCCCTGCCGTCAATGGCCTCCGCCACGGAGCGCACGGAGCTCGCCGAGGTCGGCGGCGAGGCGGGCGCGTCGGAGCAGTTCTTGGCCCAGAACGCTCGCTCCCAGCGCTTGCCCGGGCGTGCGAGGGGTGGCGCAGGGGTGGCCGCCCTGCTCCTGGCAGGCGCGGGCGCGGGGGCAGCGCGCTTGACGCATGCTGCGCGGGGCGGCCTCGGGCACGTACCGCCTCCAGAGCAAGGTGCAGGCTGTGCCCATGCCCCCGCGCGACAAGTGCGCCAGCACGGACGACGACTGCTACAGTCGGGGGTGTTGCAGCGTTGCGGGCCTGAGCTGCTTCGAGACCAAACCAGGGAAGGGCAGCTGCCTGAAGAATTGCACCCCCAGCGCATCTCAGCTGTGCATTCACATGCAGCCCATCATGGACCCGATCCACAAGGATGCCGACCGGTAGGGCCCGTCATTGTATTGTTTCGCAGTGGTCATGCAGGACATCGCAGCATGGAGAACATGTACGACTTGGAGCTCCTCCAGGGAGCATGCGACAGGAAGACCAGCATCATCGTGTGTGAGAATTGGGGAGCGGTCGGCGACAAGGCGGGCAAGGTTGGGCCCGGCGCTCCGCTCGTGATGCTGGAGTATGCTGATGGGGATTCCATTTCGCGAAGACAGAGGAGACGGGCACCTGGCTGAACACGGGCTTGCACTACCAGACCTGGAAGTCAATCGGGAAAGCGAGCGTGTACAAAAGCGCCAGCTGGGTCGTGAAGCTCGATGCAGACGCGGTGTTCGTGCCGATCCGCTTGGTGTTTTATCTCTCTAGCAAGTTGGTCCCGGCCACTGGTCTCTACCTTGAGAACTGCAAGGCGTGAAGTACGGGTGGTTCGGTAGCTGGGATTTTTTCGGTGGTGGCCTTCGAGACGCTCCTGAGGTCGACGTCCTCGTGCGAGGACACCATCGACTGGAAAAGGGCGTTGGACGGAGGCAATTGCGGCCCCATGGGCGAGGATCTGTCTGCGCAGGTTTGCTTTGATGCGAATTGCGTCCTCCTTGCAGAGGCATTCGGCACCAACTTGGAGGAAGTTTGCGAGGTGGACCGGCCACCCACCGAGAGCAGTAACAAGAAGTGGGAGCCAACGTGCGACGGCGATAGCTTCCTGGCGTACCACCCGCCGATGAAGCCCGAGGACTAGAACTACGGCCTGCTTGGGTGCCACTACCAAGGCGTTCGGCTACTGAGCGTCCCAGAGCAGCCAGTGAGGTTGCGCTGTGCCAGGCAGAGCGCCCCGTCTTGTCGGGCCTGCCTTATGCGGGCCACGTGTGCTTTTTTGGTCGTGCCAGCTTTTTCTCGCGTTGCCTTGACCTTTCGCCCCCACTTAGGTAGTGACGAGTAAAGATGTGTTGTGGCGGCAGGCGGCCTGGCGCTGCCATACTTACAGGGGGTCCCCTTCTTCTGCCTCGGTCGACTGTATGCCGATATTTTCAGTCGGCTTTGAGCCAAATTCGTTCTCCCATGTTCACATTTGGGCGCGTCTTCTTGGCTCGTGATCTGGGAAGTCTCATCGTTGTACTTCTGTCTCCCCCTGCCCTGGATTAGCGTGTGCCTGTCCACGGAGGCCTCCGTGGTGCCCCACTGAGCTTCAGAGTTTTTCCCGACCTGCGTCAACGCGGCGAGGGCCGCGAATCGTTTGTGCACATGAAGGACAGAGTGAATATCCGCATGCGCATAAGCAGGCGCTGAAGCAGCAGCTTCGCTGGCGACGCGTCGGTGCTCGGGCGGCGGGGGGGGCGGCGGGGGGGGGGGGCGAAAGAAAGAAGGCGATGCTGACGCGCGCGCCCGCTGGCGTCGCGGCCCTGCGCGCGGCGACGGGGCGAGGGGCAGCGGGGCAGCAATCGCGCGTGCGCGTCTGGATGCGCCCGAGACATCGGGGGCCACTTGGGGCCCGCGGCCGCCGCCGCCATGGGTCATCTTGGCGTGGGCGATGGGCGGGGCCGCGGGGGGCGAGGCTGCGGCGCGGCGGGGGCGCCGTGGACCATCCGGGCTTGGATGGCTGGGTGAGCGGGTGAGCGGCGTGAGGCGACGAGAGACCGAGACCGATCTAGAGCCGGACGGGCGCGGGGGTCACGACAACGGTGAGCGGGTGCCAGGCTGGCAGAAGGGCGCCGAGTGAGGAGCAATGGGGGCTTCAGGGACTTGACGCACGTGTGCGCGCGCAGACGCGCGCGCGCGCCCGCCCGCGCGCCCGCTCGCCGGCGCGCCCGCGCGAGCGCCCGCGCCCCTCCCCCCCGCGCGCGCGCGTGCGCGCGGGCGCGCTTGCGCTTTTTGCTTCGGTGGCGAGGCAGGGGGGTCCGCGCTAGCTGACAGGCCCAAAAGAGGGGGTGCCGTTATGGCGAGGTGCGCCACGGTGCAAGAGGGGGGCGAGGGGGTGGCGCGGCCGAGCGAGGGGGCGGAAGAAGCGAGCCGCACAAGGGGGGGATCGCGCCTGCGCGCGCCCCATGCGCCCGCGCCCGCACGCGCGCCCGCGCCCGCGCGCCCACACTCGCGCGCGCGCGCACGCGCGCGCTCATGCGCGCGCGCCTTGCGCCCACGCGGGCCCGCCCGCGGCCGCGCGATCCACCGCGCACGCTGCGCGTCTCACTCGCCAACGCGCGCGCGCGCGCGCCCGATCGCGCTCGCGCGCGCGCCCGCGCCCGCCACCCCCGCGCGCCGCGCGCGGCGCCGCGCGCCCGCGCGCGCCCGTCCACGCCCCCGCGCGCGCCCGCGCGCGCGCCCACGCGCGCGCCCGCGCGACCGCCCACGCACCGGCCACACATCCACCCACACACACCCACGCGCACGCGCGCGCGCAGGCGCGCACGCGCGCGCGCACACGCACGCGCGCGCACGCATGCGCACGCGCGCGCGCCCGTGCACGCGCGCGCACGCGCGCACACGCGCATGCACATGCACACGCCCGCGCGCACTCGCGCCCGCGTGCAGAGTCACACAAGCACACGACTACACAACTACACAAACACACAAATACACACGCAGCCACGGACCCGCGCACCAACGTGCCCGCGCACCCACGCACTCGCGCGCCCGCGCACTCACTCACCCGCGCACCCACGCACCCACGCGCCCACGCACACCCGCGCACCCACACCCAAGCACCCGCGCACCTGTGCACCCATGCACCCACGCGCCCACGCTGACGCACCCGCGAGCTCATGCGCTCGCGCACCCACGCGCGCGCGCACGCGCGCCAACGCGCGCTCGCCACCACGCCGCAACACCACACAACGTAACACAATACAACACAACACAATACAATACAACACAATATAACGTAACACAGCGCACACACGACCACGCCCGCGCACGCGCACGCACGCGCACGCGCACGCGCGCGCACGCGCGCTCACTTACACACACGTGCATGCGCACGCGCACGCGCGCGCACGCATGCGCGCGCGCCCACTCGCCAGCGCGCACAGGCTCTATACACACTCACAACAGACAACACACACAACACACGCGCATTCGCACACACGCACACACGCACACTCACGCACCAATAACATAGAAACGCGCAAACGCACGCGCTCACACATAAACACACACACACACACGCGCGCGCGCATACGCACGCACCCACGCATGCGCGCGTGCACGCGTAGCACGCGCACGCGCACACGCACGCACACACGCACACGTACGCACGCACACGCACACACACCCGCGCGCAAACGCAGACACGCACGCACAAATAGGTTCACTCAAACGCGCGCGCACACATGCACACATACGCACGGACACGCACTTGCACGCGCATGCACGCACACAGATACACGCAAACTCACATGCAGACACGCACGCGTGCGCACACGCGACCACGCGCGCGCATGCGCGCACTCGCGCGCGCACGCGTGCACGCGCGCGCGCACGCGCGCACGCGCGCGCGCGCGCGCAGCACGCGCACGCGCACGCGCTGCGCGCGCACGCGCGCGCGCGCACGCGCGCGCCGCACGCGCACGCGCGCGCGCACGCGCGCGCGCCGCACGCTCACGACCGCGCGCACGCACACGCACACGCAACAAGCAGACGCACTCGCACACAAACACACACACACACGCACGCACGCGCGCGCCCGCGCCCGCCCCCGCGCCCACGCCCATGCCCACGCCCACCCTCGCCCACTCCCGGCCCGCGCCCGCGCCCGCGCCCGCGCCCACGCCCACGCCCGCGCCCGCGCCCGCGCCCGCCTCCACGCCCGCGCCCGCGCCCACGCCCGCGCCCGCGCCCGCGCCCTTGTCCGCGCACGCGCGCACGCGCACGCGCGCGCACACGCACACGCACACGCATACACACGCACGCGCGCACGTACGCTCGCACACACACACACACACATACTCTCATTCATTCAACCATTTCAATTTTCGACGCACTGCACCATTGCGGGTTTGCGCGGGCACCGGCCGCTGGAGGCGCCAGACAGCCTTGGACAGGCCCCAGGGGGTTCAAGACGGCCCGAATACGGTCTAAGAGCGCCTCAAGGTGTCCCAATATGCTGTCGAGACGGCCCAAGAGGCCCCAAACAAGCCCCAGGACGCCCCAACAGGGCCCCAGGAGGACCCCAAACATGGTTTGAAATTGCCGAGCGCATCGGCTTCCATTTTCCGTTGGACGTTTTTTTGGGGCATTCGCGCTTTCCAGTTTCAGGAGGTTCCTACGAGGGTCCCAAGAAGGGCCAAGATGACCCCACAACGGCCCCATAAACCCTCATTGCGCTCCTCAAGCGCCCAAAGAGGACCCGCGACTGCCCAGACAGAGCTCCAAGACGGCCTTCGTTCAGAGATCCTTGTGAGGCCCGAAGACCCCCAAGAGGCCCCCGAGAGGCCCCAGGAAGCCCCTAAGAGGCTCGTCGGGCCTCAGGGGCTTCCAAAGGTTTCCCACGAAACCCCCAGAGGGCCCCCAGAGGGCCTCAACAGGCCTCCTCCGCTCGCTCTTCCTCCTCCTCCTCCTCCTTCACCTCCTCCTCTTTTGTGTTTCACCACGGCTTGGGGAACACATCGTTCAATACCTTGACCAGACCTTGCCCAACAATTCGGCTGCATGGGTGATTCCAAAAGGCAGGTGGCGGTGGTGATTCGCCGTGAGCGTCTTCGATCCGCCGCCCCCTGTACTTTTCATTGGCGTGCCGGATTTTGTTGTTGGTTTGAAGCGTTTGTTGTATGGGTTCCCAGTGAGTCTCGGACGATTCCGCCGGCCCACTTGAAAATCAATCACTGTGCTTTGTCTGCTTCCCATGAGCCCAGAGTGGGCTCCAAGATGGCCTCCAAGACGGCTGCGATGGCCCAAGACTGCTTCCAAGTTTGCAATATGACTCAAAGACAGCCCACGATGCCCTCCAAACGGTCCACGAGGCCCCCACGAGGCCCCCACGACGCCCCAAAAGGGTTCCAAGAGGACATCCAGGAGGCCACCGTCATTGGTTTTCAAACGCTGCTCATTTGATTTTTGGCTCTCACCTTGTCGGACGTCTGACACACCAAGACGACCCCAAGAGGCGCCTCAAACGGTCCAAAACGCTGGCAAAACGGCCCAAGAGGGCTCTGAGGTCCCCGAAACGGCTCCGAGACGTCCCCACAGACTTCCAAGACGGCTCCAAGGCGCCCAAATATGGACCCACGACTGCCCAGAGTGGCCCCCAAGACGGCCTCCGAAGGCCGATAGGCCCCCCAGAGGCCCCCCAAATACCCCCCCAGAGCCTGGAGGCCCCCAAACGGCCCCACAGAGGCCCCCAAGAGGCTCCCAGCAAGCCCCACAGGAGGCCTCTTGGCGTTGCTCTTGGAGCTCACTTGCGGCGTCTGGGGTGCCCCCTGGGCCGCCTGAAGGCCATCTTGGGTGGCTTGGAAAGCTCTTGGGCCGTCTCGGATGCCTCTTGGACCCTCTTGTTTTTTTTGGGGGGAACCCTCTTCGCATATTTTCGGGCCCCTTGCCTTTGGAGAACTCATGTGGGAACACGCGGGAAAGCCCAGGAGCGCCCCAGACCGCCCGAGAGCCTGGGATCGCCTGGAACTCCCAGACCGTGGGTCCTTCAAAAAAAACAAGTACACCACTCGATACAGAGAACTCGAAGGGTCCCCCGAGGGTCCTGAGGATATTCCGCTTCGTGCTTCGGGGCACGGTGGCGCATTTCAGCTGCCTTTGGCTGGTAGTTCTCGGATTCGGAGGATCGAGTTTGGAGAAGGCTGAGGAAGGGTGGGATGATGCCGGCGATTTCTACTGATCACGTCTCAACCTGAACCCAAGGCTCGGGTCATCATCGAGGAAGGCATCAAGGTGGTGGAGACCGCTGGCAGAAATCCAGGGGAGCACGTGGCCAAGTTCAAAGAAGCAGGCATCAAGGCGATCGTATGTTTCTTTGAACCAGATCTCCATCATCGTCTCCGCGTTTTCCGACCGTACCCCTATCATGCCACAGCTGGAGAGAGGCTGAGCATCGGCAGTGGACTCCTGATGATGGCCCTTGTCCATTTCACATCATGGCACAATTGTTCCATTACCTTGTATGGCGTATATCATTTCATACTTGCATGTCGCTTGTAATTCAATCATCGGGACACATCTTATGACGCCATGGCCTTGAAACACGTAACCCGATTTTGATGGAAGAGCCATGCGTTCTCTCTGTCTCACCTCACTCTTTTTCTCTCTCTCTCTCTCTCTCCCTCTTCCCCCCTCTCTCCGCCTCCCCTCCCCTCCTCTCCCCCCTCCGCATGCCTTCAGTCCTCCACCTTGCCTCCGAGAGTCTTCTGTCTCTCTGTCGTTCCGTCTGTCGACACAGGTGCGCTGCTGCGCGAAGTCACGGCTCGCGGTCGGGCGGGCGCCTGGGGGGGTGGTCTGGGGGGAATGGACAACACACACGCACTGGCGATGATGTTGTTATGCTCGGCCAAGACTCTGCAACCTTGGCTGTACCCTTGCTTGCTCAGCGAGTTCGAGCAAAACGCTATTCTACGAGACGCTCTGCCTTCTGTCAACGTTGTGGCGCTGTGGGGGTCGGAGGGCGCCGTGGGTGGTGGGGCGAGGGGTCAGCGCCACCGCGGCGGGTACCGGGCAGCGGGTATACTTCGGCCGCGCGCATGAAGGAAGGTGGCAGGAGGGCGGCAGGAAAAAACGCGGTTCTGTCGCAGGAGGGCATCGCCACCTTTCTGCATCGATCACGGTCTCCGTCCACTGAGAGTTCCCATCAGGGTCACGCTGCCGAGGTAGGTGCACTGGAACGTTCGATGTGAACTTCTGGAGTGGTTGTTGTCGTTGTTGGTGGTGGTGGTGTTGTTGTCGTTGTCGTTGTCGTTGTCGTTATCGTTGTCGTTGTCGTTGTCGTTGTCGTCGTCGTTGTCGTCGTCGTTGTCGTTGTCGTTGTCGTTGTCGTTGTCGTTGTCGTCGTCGTTGTCGTTGTCATTGTCGTTGTCGTTGTCGTTGTCGTTCTTGTTCTTGTTGTTGTTGTTGTTGTTGTTGTTGTTGTTGTTGTTGTTGTTGTTGTTGTTGAACACTATTACTTCTAAAGAATTATTATTGTTGGACCCCCTGGTGCACGCCCCCCGCCCAAAACCTAGGCCGCAGCTACATTTTCATCATTTTTCTGCGAAAGCTTCAGAAAAGTGGATTACCCCCGGATCCGGTTTTTTGTTGACGCTCGTTTTCCCTTGCAAAAAACAATAGAAAATGAAAATTCTTGTTCTTAGTTGATCAAATTTCAAGAATCCCTTGCAAAAAATAAGGTAAAGTGGACATTCGCGCTCGCAAGACGAAATCCTTCCAAAACCTTAGGTTTCGTAGCGATTTTAACATAAAAACATCAAAAACCCAATGGTTTTTTAAGAAAAAATTGTCAAAATGTCCTTCCGCGCGCTCTTGCGGATTCATAGGAAACACACCACTTTTTAAACATTTCTGTCAAAAGGGTCTTTGCGTGCTACTTCTTCAGGTGCTTTGAACTTCTCCAACAACGGTTGCGCGCCTGCGAGGGCCACCATCCCTTGCAAAAAATGAGACGAAGTGCACATGCGCGCGGCCGCCGCGCGCGCATGTCGAAATCCTGCCAAACACAATGGGTTTTCAATAATTTCAAGATGCGATGTTCAGAAAACATATGAAAACGCACTACTTTCTCATCCGAAAAATCTCGAAATCCATTCGCGGTCTCTTGATGAATCTTTAAAACCCAAGATGGCCCCAACAGGCGCGCAAGATGGCCCCAAGAGGCGTCCATGAGGCCCAAAGAGGCGCCCAAGATGGTCCCAAGAGGCTTCAAGAGGACTCCAAGAGGCCCCCAAGAGGTTCCAGAGAGGCTCCAAGGTGGCTCCAAGAGACCCCCAAGATGGCCCCAGGAGGCGTTCTAGAGGCCCCAAGAGTCCGCCGTGAGGGTCCAATAAGCCCCCAAGAGGCCCCAAGATGGTTCCAAGGAGCCCCCCAAAGGCTCTCAAGTGGACCCCAAACCGCGCCAGGAGGCTTCCCCCCTTCCCCAAGAGGACCCCAAGCGGCCCCAGGAAGGCCCCCGACTGCTGACGCACATATCCGTAGCCATCTCGGATCAAGGTATCGCCTGTGTTCTTGGATCATGGCTTTGACGGCGAAAGACCTTCACGAGCAGTATGGCCCTGAGCTGTCGCGGCCTCCCTTGGCCGACTGCGAGAGTGCGTATTATTTGCATCAGGCGCTCCGGGCAAAGGGTATCAATGCTAGTCACCAGGCGTGCAAGACTTGGTGGGCCAAGTATCGGGTTGTGACTGGCACGGTCAGTATTTCTAGCGCCAAGGAGCTGGAGGAGCAGCACGGCTCTGCCATCCGCCACCTGGGCATTGAGTATAATACCGCTTTCAAATTATGCCGGGCGCTCCGACAGTTGGATCCACCACTGTATGTGCCAGATAGGGTCGCAACGGCGTGGCTACTGCAGTATTCATCCAAAGACACGCTTGTCCAAGTGCAGAACGCTGGCCACTTGGAGACCTGGTATGGAGAACGTATTCGCAAAGACATGCCCGAGGGGACCACTGACGGGGCCGTCTTGAAGCAGTGGCTCCTGGGACATTTATCTGTATCTGCTAACGCCAGGGTATGTCAGAAGTGGCTCAGCACGGAGTGGGGCGCCAAGGGGGCATTGAACACTGCCCAAGCTGTGGAGGAATGTATGGGCGAGCGTCTTCGACTCAATCAGTATCGGGAGAGCTTCGCCGACGAGGCCGCTGCGGAGGTCCTCTTTGGCCTTTGGCCCGAGCCGCCAGACCTACCTGGGGGGTTCCCAGGGGAAGTCTGTGAGGCCTGCGGATTCAAATAAAAAGATGATGTGCGTATGCCTGCTCTGGTCGCATGTGCGGCGGCGGACTTCGTCTTTCGGACGGCGCTCGCATGGGAGTTCTGCGTGTATGGTCTGTGTTTCACTCGTCCAATGTTCGCGGTCGTATGGACTTTGGCATTTGGGCACATGTATGCGTTTCGTTTCTGTTTGTACGTAGCGGTTTCTGCTCAAGCCGCTTACTGTATGTCGCGAGATCGTATTCACCTCCACATTGCCAGCCTTCCGTATGACTTTCCAGATGGCCGGTCGGCTTGACCCCTTGACGGGCGAGTATTTCCCGTCGGATGATGAAGTGAGCTCGAGTATGGATCGCTGGCATACGCCACCCGGCCACGAGGCGTATGCACGCCGCTGGTTGAAGCAGTGTGGCTCGGAAAGGTGGTTCGCGTGCGGTATCTTCTTCCCTCTTCTATGGGAGGGTGTTACGGGCGTGTGCCTCGCCGTATCGAGCGGTATGTCCACGGGGCAGTCGAAGATCAACAACGACCCGGAGTACCAGCACAGTATGGGGGGCATCGCCGAGCCCGAATGGCTGTACTTCGACGCGTACTTTTACGCGAACGCGGTATTCGGGAACTTCTCGGTATTCCAGGATGAGAGGCTTGGGAAGCCCATTGGCTACCTTGTGCACGTATTCGACACGCTGTGCACCGCAGCAGGTATCGTCGCCTGGAAAGCCAACCTCTTCGTCCACCCGGGCCAGTGGGTGTATCGCAGTATGCGGTATTTGCTCGGTCAGCTCGCTATTCCCATTCATGCGGAGATCGTATCCGGCCTCTCCTACAGGGCCCTGGCCACCTTGGACGTATTCATTGCGTACCACGCGGCCTTCATGGGTACGGACCCGCAGAAAATGGCCCTTTGGAACGTATCCCCTGAGGTCGGCACAGAGATCACGTATCCGCGTCAAGACCAGTGGTGGTGGTTGCCCGTATGGCGGTCGTATGGTCAGAGCGACGAGCTTCCGAACATGCTCGATTACCAGGCCTTGCCACCGCAGGTCCACAACGTGCTCGCGGTAGCACTGCCGTATGCAAGCACCGGCCTTCCCGCCAGCAGGCGTATCGGCAATCTCATTGGGCATCTGGGACCGCACGGGTATCAGCCAGGCCCGCACGTGTATCAGCCAGGCAGCCGGGCACCCACGCGCCCGCTCCGCGCCATCGCAGACGACGATGCGTCGCGCCTTTAGTATGCTTCTGGATGCGAAGACCATTCGGTTGAGTATACCCCTACGTGTGACTGGACCTGTTTGCGAAAGCAGGAGAAAGTATGGCACCCCTTTGTGTCCAGAGCCGCGCCGTCTGCGTTCTTCCTTTCTCGCTTCTCTCCTTTCCTCCTTGTCCTGCTCCTCCTCCCCCTCTTCCGCCTTGGAGCCGTATTGGAACTGTCGATGGCCATCTCCCTTTCTCCCTCGCATGTCTGCTTGTACATACGTATAATTTCAGAACTTACCGTGCATGCGATCGTTTACAACATGGTGGACCGTGCGTATGTCACGAACCTTGTATACATGTGTTTCTCTCCCTCCGTCTGGCTGTGCACGCGCGCGTTGGGCACTGAGAGTTAGGATCATAGCGCCATGAGTCTATGAGCAATGCATGCGTCATCCTTGGGACTGTATAACATCAGTGTAACACATGTACTTCTGTAATCGCATCCCCACGAATTTGCCCCAAAAATGTGACCAACTATCTTGGCACTGCGTACCATCTCACGTGTACCGTGTACCACATCATATGTAACAGATGTGATCAACCTCTGTGGGTGTGTACCCCACGCCAGTGTAGTAGCCAGGGTCGTCCGCACGCCACGAAGTGAAGTGTCCCAACGTCATAGGGCGGGAAGCTGGGTGTGGGTGGTCTCGAAGAGTCGTTTGGATATTTGGTAGAGCTTGAACGGCCCCCCCACGAAGTGGGGGTATTGGCTGGTGTCGCAAGAAAACCCTGGCACTGGGGAGAACACTGAGCGTTCGGGTAAAATGATTGTTGTTGTTGTTGTTGTTGTTGGTCGTCGTTGTTGAACATTATTAATTCTAAAG